GAATATTGTTTCTTATGGTCTGAGAGTCCTTCAGATGCCTTTTGGCAAATTCCAGGTGGGGAGTGGCTTCAGTCTGGCCACTCTACTATACAGGCCTGATTGCTGCACCGATGGTTGTCCTTCTGTAAGGTTCTCCTCTCTTCACAGAAGAACGCTGAAGCTCGGACAGAGTGACCATCGGGCTATTGAACACCTCCCTGACTAAGGCCCTTCTCCCCTGATCACTCAGCTTAGATGGCCGGCTAGCTCTTGGAAGAGTCCTGGAGGTTTCAAACATCTTCCACTTACGGATGATGGAGGCCACTGTGCTCATTGGAACTTTCAGAGCAGCAGAATTTTTTTTGTAATTACCCCAGCCCTGTACCTCAAGACAATCCTGTCTCGGTGGTCTACTGACAGTTTCTTTGTCTTCATTCTTGGTTTGTGCTTTGACATGCATTGTCAACCCTGGGACCTTATATAGAAAGGTGTATGCCTTTTCAAATCATGCCCAGTCAACTGAATTTACCACCAGTGAACAATTAAGCTGTTGAAACATTTTAAGAATGATCAGTGGAAACTGAATGTACCTGAGCTCAATTTAGGCTGTGAATACTTCTGTACATGTGATTTATTTTTATTTATTTTTTTAAATATACATATAAATTTGCAACAATTTCAAAAAATCTTTTTCACATTGCCGTTATAGGGTTTTGTTTGTAGAATTTTGAGGAAATTAATTAAGTTATTCCATTTTGGAATAAGACTAACATAAAAAGTGGAAAAAATAAAGTGCTATGAATACTTCCCGGATGCACTATAGATAGACAGACAGACAGACAGACAGACAGACAGACAGACAGACAGACAGACAGACAGACAGACAGACAGACAGACAGACAGACAGACAGACAGACAGACAGACAGACAGACAGACAGACAGACAGACAGACAGACAGACAGATAGATAGATAGATAGATAGATAGATAGATAGATAGATAGATAGATAGATAGATAGATAGATAGATAGATAGATTTGAGACAAGAATTGTAAATATTGTTTAAAATCCTGCATATGAGTTTATATCTTTAGACTTGCATTTGATAGTTATCAATAGTAACAATTAACTTTTGTTTTTAAAAAAAATAAGTGCAAGTCAAGCCCTGTATGCTGAGTTTTTTTAATATCTATCCCCCAGTGTAAGAGCAGAGAGTTGCAGCCCTCGCGTGGGTCAAGAAAGCATTGTTCAGCATTGCTCTACTCTCTTGTCTCTCTCGCTTTGTCTCTGGTTGTGTGTGTTTGGCAGGCAGTGTGACTGTGATTAATGTTGAAGCAGTTTGTCCTGTTGAGGACCAGAGGAAGAGAGAGAGAAGAGTGTGATGAGAAGAGAACAGTCACAAATCTCTGTCAGGATGGTAGATTCCTGCCAGCTGTGAGGAGGAAACCGCAGGAAAACCTCCAGCACACACACACATTCTGTCAGAGCCGAATGAAAAATATTCAGAATTTGAGAAGTATAAGAGCAGACGTTTACTCGTTTTCCAGTACATACAGTGTATTGTTGGTGGGTGTGCATTAAGACTAGATGATTAATCAAACTTTAATTGCAAAAGTGATTGAGCAAAGCTGCGATTGTTGTGAACATTTTATCAAGGAAGCAATGTTATTTGTTGTAATTCTCCCCTGAATTCTAGAGGGCGCTCTCATGGAAATCAAAGAACCCCTTTAAATACACACAAACAAACCCAGGAAATCACCTGAGAAAATAGCGGTTGCTGAATGAACAAAAGATTTAACAGCTTTCACAGATTACGCTTACATAGACGTTAGTAATTGAATTATTTGCCCTAATTTGAATCAGACAATAATATGATAAACGTGTTTACAAGAGTTGCTTTTTGAATGTTGCTTTCATAATCCTGTTTTAGATGTTATTGCTCACATTTCGATTAATTATTTAATCATCCACATTTCCTCTGGAGTTTCAGGTAATTTGTGTGCGTTTCATTTTTAATTTGTCGACTTTAACTGCAGTTTAGCACTTTCACGTTTTTATTCAGGAACATTTTATGCATGCCCCCTGTGACAAGTGGAACTGCTGGAAGAGTGTTGTTTAAATAGAATTTGATACCACATGCCATATGGGGAAAAAAAATGCAGGCATCTGTGGTCCTTCACTCACTCGATAGGTGCAGAGAATAGTGTCAAACAGCCGTGTGTGTTTATACTATCCTGTCGCAAAATGCGATGAAAATCCTACACGACGGTACTAGTTTGTTTGCAGTGTTTACATGTCAGTACTGCACAATAATGCGACTAAAATCAGCATACATCGATTTCTGTTTCGTTCGATTATGACTTTAGTCGAATTAAGGTCAAAAATTGCTGTTTGCATGGTAGACTCTTAATCAGAGTATTGTCTTAATCATTTTAAAATCTTTTTTTTTTTTTTGTGTCCATGTAAACGTACTTCTGTGTGATTCAGCTTGAATGATAAACACTGTGTTATAGAATGATCTAACAGAAGGATCTATTTCATACACTGGACTGTAGTTATGAGTTGAGTTTGGAGTAAAAGAACATTATTGTATGTTGTTATTTCATGTGCAGCTTTTACTAGAAGTGATACAAAGAGCTGTCATTATCGCAGAACAATTATCTCAATGTCATTATCGACCAATTAAACCAAATTAGAATTAAAACAGTTTTTTTTTTCTTTTGTTGATTTGCATAGCTTACCATTGAACTACAACTCTGTGTAATAAACGTGCTGGAAATTTGCTAGAACTGGCTTTACTGACAAAATGTACACATCAATTGCCTCGAATAAATTGCCCAGCCCTAATGTGCATTATTATTTTCTAATAATTAAAGGGATAAGAATAAATTATTTTCTTATACTATGGTTATTACAGCTAAAGATACTGTTCGGATGCTGTTTTTCAAGACATTTGTCAGGGTTTTGTCCATACCTGCCAACATTTGTCTCCGAAGTTCTTGGAGACCATTCTTGTTTGTCTTCGTAACTAAAGTTAAGAAGCGGGGAGGATGTGTGTTGGAGACTGTACCAAAAAGATAAGAACCAGTGGAGACGGTGGGTGGAAATAAGGGAGTTTTGTGGGAGAAATAACAAAACGGGAGGGTGGTGGGAGATGAGACTCTCAGGAAAAAAAAGTGTTGGCAGGTACTGTATGGTTCTGTCCTCAAACTGCTGATGTGTAGGGTAATAGTTTCTTACACATATAATGTTAATCCAGACTCTTCTGTTTTGTTTCGGTTTTATTTTTGACAGTATTAGGCTCTTAAATTGCAGTTCTCTGAAAATGGATGGATTGATGGATGGATGGATGGATGGATGGATGGATGGATGGATGGATGGATAGATAGATAGATAGATAGATAGATAGATAGATAGATAGATAGATAGATAGATAGATAGATAGATAGATAGATAGATAGATAGATAGATAGATAGATAGATAGATAGATAGATAGATAGATAGATAGATAGATAGACAGACAGATCGATAGACAGATCGATAGACAGATCGATAGATGGATGGCAGGCTGGATAGATTATATAATATTATTATAGCATATGTACATGCGTGCATGTGTGTGTGTGTGTGTGTGTGTGTGTGTGTGTGTGTGTGTGTGTGTGTGTGTGTGTGTGTGGGAAGGAAGGGGACTGGAGCCTCTGCTGTGCATTAGATAAGAAAATAAAAAATTGATCACAAAGTTCTCTCTCACACACACAGGCCGGTCTCTGAGTTTTGCTACACAAAGTGTGGAATGGTAAATAACCCAGTGTGTGTATGTGTGTGTTTGTATGTATGTGTGTGTGTTTAGAAGGTGGCTCTTCTCCCAACATGGAGATACAAAACTGCAGAAAAGCAATTTCGACTCTTAGCCTCGCCGCAGCTGCGTGTGTGTTTGCCAGTGTGTGAGTGTGTTTGTGTGTGTGTGAGTGCCAGTAATTGCTAATGTGCAGCGCAGACGGGCATCAGAGCATGAAGAGAGAGCGAGAGCGAGGGACTCAAAGGCCGTGGTTCAGAGCAGGGGACACTTTGCTTGAGTCACTGTTTTAAAAGCATCAGATGGAGGTCTGGATGCTGCGCAGAGACAGACAGACTGACAAACAGTGACTGACAAACCTGTGTGCTGAAGAGCTATATAAGGGTGTCTGCTTCATCTGCGAACATGGTTTTTCTGTTGTGTGTTTATTTATTTATTTATTTATTTATTTATTTATTTATTTGTTTATTTATTTATTTATTTATTTATTCATTCATTCATTCATTCATTTATATATTTATTTATTTATCTATTTATTTATTTTATTTTTATTAATTTTTGTATTAAATTTATTATTTTCTATCTATCTGTCTGCCTGTCTGCCTGTCTGTCTGCCTGTCTGTCTGTCTGTGTGGACTTTAGAATACAAAACAACTCCATTAGTGTGGAAAAATTGAGTTATCAGCCCAATTTCTTTGAGTTGCTACAAGTTAAATATTGTTTTAAAGTAACTGACAGATTTAATTACTTTTAAATTAGCCGCATTTTTAAATTGATGTAATTATCAATATTTTCCCGTTTTGAAAACTTAAGTTTTAATCTAATCAGCATTTAGATTTTTTTTTTAAGCTACAATAATGCATTAAGCTATGTAGTGGTAACAGACCTCTTGAGTTATTTTGTAGAGTGTGATTTTGTAATTTGCTCAAAATATGATTAATTATCATATTTAACGGGGTCTTTTGACATTCACAGTTTGCCACAGGTTTATTGTGAGAGTCGAGTATAGGTGTAGGTTTGGATAGAACGATGTAATAAGCAGTTTTTACTGTAAAAACCACATTGTATCAATGGTGAGTCCTTATAAAACACCAAAACCAAAGTGTGTGTGAGTGCTTCATTTCTGAAAGTGGCAGATCAATTCACTAGCTAAGTACACGCAGCAGGGATGACGGCTGTTTGAAATGATTTTTCCTCACTTGCTTTTTCTTCTCTCTTTTGCAGCTCCGTCTATTGTTCCCATAATGCATCAGGTCAGCTCTACCATGAAGAGCATCACGTTATCATGGCCACAGCCTGAGCAGCCCAATGGCATTATTCTCGATTATGAGCTGCGCTACTATGAGAAGGTAAGAGCGTGTGTTTGTGTGTGTGTTGCACTTGAGAGAAAACTGCTCTCTTGTCTCGTTTCTTCCTAGAGGTTTATGGATGTTTTTCACATTTCGAGTTTCGTTTGAACACTTTAACGCACGACTGCAATTGGGTCAAATGGAAGAGAAAAGGTGATTCAGTCGTCTGCTTCGTTGTGAATTGACTCTTTGACTTGTTTAAATGGTGGCTGTGAAGCTGTCAGCTGTTATTTGTTGGCTCTGGAACAGTATTTCTGTTTAATAAGCTGCGCTGAAAGAACTTCAGACTCTTAACTATGACAGTTTACATTTATGAATTTTCCTTTTATCCAAAGCCACTGAGCATTAGAAAGCATGATTCATGCCTCAAAATCAGAGCGAAGTGAATGGTCGTAATCTCTGTAAACCCACTAAAATTACAGTTTGATTGGTTACTACTTTATACAGGGTGTCCACTGGATCCTAAAAAGTCTTTAAGGGTGCTTTCACACCTGTGAATCGATTCAGTTGTTCCAAAACAGAGATTACAAATGTTATATTGTTGCTCTTTGCTCTTGGAGCGGTTCGCTTTCACAATGCAAAGTTTATAATCGTACCAAAAGAGCTAAAACAAGTCATGTGTGAGTAAACTCTCCTCACATAGGTCAGAGTGTCAGGGTTTATTTTGCAGAGTCCCGATCAGCTGTGAGGAGAGGTGGGGGTTTGTGGTGTTTGACAAGGTGCGCGCGTTGTGTCTGAAGAGTGTGAAGAGATGCGGTGGGGAGGGGAGAGAAGGGTGCACGACGTAGCCTATTTGAGGACCGAGAGGAAGACGCGAGATTACTGGGAGATTTTTACTCGTTTGCGGACATCTGGAGACTCACGAAACTTCCTGCCCAACTCTTAATTCTCTCTTCATATAGCCATATGCCTATTACATATCCATAAAACACAGTGATATAACTGCACTCGGATCGTTTGCTTTCTCACTGCAATCCATGCGCTCCAGAGTTCGTTTCAATCGAGCCGAGACCACCTCATTCAAGCGATCTCGGAGCGATTGATTTGCCGTGGATCCGATCGCGATTGGTGGTTTCACATATGCCAAACAAACTGAGCCAACTGGGCAAACGAGACAGGTTCCGAAACAAAAGTGTAGGAGTGAAAGCACCCTAAAGCTCTTACATTTAAAAAACTAAATATTGGGACCTTAAAAAGTCTTATATTTGGTAAAATATTGTGTTGTAGTTCTTAAATATTTTTTAAATACAGTTGGTCTAAATTTTTCTACAGTATGTCCGTGTAAAGTTACCCAATCGGGCAAAGACCTATTCAATCAACAGCAATACATCTCAATAAAACCTTTAACACAAGCTTATTTGTAAACTCTATTTACCAGTATGTTTTATTATTTTACTTAGAATATTTTTTTTCAATGTTTTTTTTTATGTTTTAACAGTGAAACATTTATTAGCTTTGAGCCTTATTGTTAGTATGTAATTTCATTCATAATAGTCTTTAAAAAGTGTTACATTTGACTTGAAACTTGCAGAAACCCTATTATAGTTCCAGTGATGTTATGAGTTGTAGGGAGCAACATAAAAAATAAATAAATGAATAAATAAATAAATAAATAAATAAACAATCACTGTATTGAAAGAAAAATGCATATCGGTTAAGTATGATAACTCAAAATTAGATTCAGAGTGATTTGAGAATTTAGTATTCTACTTTTGATGCACTTGCTTTTTACTTGTATATCAAACATATTTTTGTTTGTTTATTTATTTGTATTTATTATTTATGTTTATATATCCTGCAGGTTTTATTATATGTTACTATTATATTTAGTTCAGTGAGGTGTATGCAGCTGCATGACTGCGTTTATTTGATAAAAATACAGTAAAATGGTTAAATCTATTTTCAATTGTAAAAACATAGCACACAGAGTTTTATCATAGACAATCATTAGCTCTCTTTTGAAATTGTAATTTTCAAAAAATCTATTTCCCATGTGACTAGTTATTTTTCAGGGTACTAGTCGTCAGCTTAACATGCAATTTTAATGCATTAAATAAAATGTTATTTTATTGTATTAAATTTTATTGAAATATTTTTTTTTATTTTATTTATTTCAATAATATATTATTCAGTTTTATAAAAAAAATGTAATTAATTTTGTTAGATTAATTAGGCAAGTGATTATAAAATAATGAAACTTTTCAAGGAAAGTATTCCTGTGTTGACAAATCAGATTTTGCGACATCATTTGTTGTTTAATATCACATGACCCTTTTTAAATCATTCTAATATGCTGATTTGGCAATTACAAAACATTATCAGATTAACAAATAATTTAACTCAAAATTAGATTTTATTTTTGATGCATTTGCTCTTTACGTGTATATCATTAAATTAAGATTATTTCTCTTTTTGCTGTTTATTTATTTGAATTTAAAATTCACTTGTTCGCTTATTTTGTATAATGTTTTATTATTATTACAGCTGCCAGGCTGCGTTTATTTGATAAAATACAGTAAAAGGGTTAAATATATTTCAAATATGTCATAAATCATTCTAATATGCTGATTTTGCAATAAAGAAACATTATAAGTGTAGCTGAATTATCAAATGCAAAATGTATGAGTTTTTTTTTTTTTTTTTTTTTTCACATTGCACAATAAAGAGTTGCCTCTTTGTGATGTCCTGATTAGAAAGTGATGTACAGTGGTTGCTAGGGGATGACATTGGCATTGCAGAAAGATGCTGAAATGCAGACCCTTTCATACCAATTACACCTAATGACTACACACACACACACACACAGACACATGGCTGTCACCCCTTTTAGAGACACAGACATCAGAGCATCATCAACACACTGAATAGCACACACACACACATATAGATATACAGTTATGTCTATATTCCCCGTCTGATGTTTCTTTGAAATGCTGCTGTCACATATATAAATCCACCTGTCTAGCTGTCCCGAGGTCTGAAAAAAACACTTTCACACATTATATTTCCCAGCCTTCTTCACATTTTCAGACATATTGGTATATTCAGGGCTCTCTGTACATTATGAAGGACTGTAGTAATGTACTATACATCACTGTCAAACTAAAACACGTCAATGGCAGCCTCTCTGCTGCTTTTATGATATCCACTGGCTGTTCCTTGAAGTCTGTGCAGAATACTGAAAAAGTAATGTTGGCAAGAAATCAGGTTTAAGGGGAAGAAATCCAATATTAATTATTAATATATTGTTGTTGCTGTTTTTTTTTTTTTGTATACTGTATTGAGAAAGTTAATTAATTGAACTGAACTGTCATACCCACAGTGTTGTAAAGTAACTGATTACAAATACTCAAATTACTGTAGTTGAGTCGTTTTTCTCAGGAATTGTAATTTACTAAGTAGTTTTTAAAATGTGTACTTTTACTCTCCCTTAAGTAGATTTTTAGTGCTGTATCGGTACTATTACTCAACTACTTTCCTTCACCTGCTGTCACTATTTTACTTTTTCCTGTCTATGAGGATTAGACAAATCAGTCCTGTGAATCCTGTCTAATCAAATAGCACATAGAAGGTAAATCGCATCATTATGAACTACCCAAAGACATGGGCGATTTATAATTGGAGGAAACTGTTTGGAAGCATTTAAAGTGCCCAAAAAGATGTTCATAATCTTTACACGCATTGACCCAGAGACTGTTTAGATGCATGTCATGATGAGAAGATGACGGATGTTTACTGTATAATGACTAAAATGGCCTTAAACACCCAATAGGCACAGGAAGTCAACATGATGTCAGTAGACTGTGTACCCCAAAGTCATGGGGGCGTTGCATTTTGTTTGGAAATGAAAATCAGGTTTGACATCAGAACCCAATGTCAGGTCTATGTCAATGTCCAAAGTCCAACCTAAAACCAACCAAATATCAACGTCTAATGATGTTACAGGGCCCTATCATACACCTGGCGCAGTGTGGCGCAAAGCGTGACGCAGTAGTCTTTTGGTAGTTTCAGCTTGGCGCAAGAGTCTTTTTGAGGCGTTGCGCTACGCTGTTTAAATAGCAAATGCATTAGCGCTCATTTTTGCGCCCATAGGCGTTCTGGTCTAAAAAGGTTGCTATTTTGAGAATATATAATAGATTTTTCATTAGACCAAAACTAACCCAGTCTAAACTCCGGCGCAGAGTTGCGCCTCGCTTGCGCACTGCTTAATACGCACAAGAGAGCAATAGGCAAATATCTTTACATATGAAAAAATATAAATATTAAGGATATATATAGTATATAATAAGAATAGATATAGAATATAAATCTAAAGGATTAAAATGTTACAAAACATATTATTTTCTAGCCTACATAAATATGAAAAACCACTGCTTTTATGTCTTCTTCATCTCGGGAGGCTTTTTCAGTTCATTCATAAAAATTTGTTTTTCTATAATGTTATTATTATTAGCAGTATTATTTATTATATCCATATTTATATTTGTTTTATTAAAAACAAGCTTAGATTTGCCCACCTGTCAGGTTTTAGACCATATGGGGCAAAGCATGTGTTTTAGGATATAACTCAGGTTTTTGAGCACATTTTGTTATTTTTGTTCATTTATTCGTTAGCTGGAAATTAGAACTGAATTTAGAAATAGTTTTAAAATGAATATTTGCGCTTAACAAACAAAAGTATTTATTTATTGACTAATTGATGTCTGTGTGTAAAGGTTTCCCTATCCAAGAGCGAAAGTAAAAGTGATCCATTATCTCTCATTCTCACGCAGTAGATGCTCTGTTTAACAGTTTTCTGTTAAAAAAACTGTTAACTGTTAACTGTTTGCTTGTGAAATGCTCATTTTTTCCACTTAGACTTACTTTGCGACCTGTAAATAGCGAATGCGCTCTTGGCGCAACGCTCCTGACTCTTAAAGAGAATGGGAGATGAGATTCTAATTGGTTTATTCTCAAAACACACCTATAACTCATTAAGAAAATAAACTCAACCCTTTTAG